CGTGAGGGGAGCGGGGGCAGCTGGCGGCTCTGCCGGGCCCCTCCCTAGCGCGGTCACTTCGCTCCTCGGAAAAAAGAAAACCACAAGTCAGGAGTGAGGTCTTTAATAGTCCCCACGCCATCTAATTGTGAAATTGGCGGTTTTCTCAAGTACGCGATTATGGGGAAGGCTTTCAGTCCTCCGAGGAGAGAGTTGAAAGAGCGGAGCTGCGGCAGCCGGGGCGTGGGGATTCTTGGTTTCAGCTTAGAAACTGGGCGGCGTCGGCACTTAGCGAGCTCCGCGGCCGTCCCTTCCCCTCCTCCTGCCTCCCTTTTCCCACTTTCTCTCGCGTGGGCGCTCTAAGTGCGGGCTGTACCTCGGTGGCCCGAAACCCGCGGCATCTGAGCTCCCCGCTCGTCTCCTTGCCAGCACCTGGCCTGCCGGGGCTGGGCGGCTCGTCCTCACGCCCGGCATCCTGCTTCGCTGCAGGCTTGCCGAGGGGCGTGCGTCCCGCAGGTTTCCTGAAAATAAAAAAATTCCTAATGTTCCTGTGGCTACAGTAAGTTCTGTTTTGTTTCTGTTTTTTTTTTTTTTCTTTTCGTTAATGACTCAACCGCTTGCCTCCTGCGTAAGATTATAGAGCCAGCGAGAATTGTTGGATGAAGTTTCTGGGGCGTTTCCTCCATTTTTGTGGAGGAAGACTCGCACTGCCATTCCTGAATTAAAAAGAGGGGAGGAGGGGGAAACGAGTCCCTTCCACAGGGCAGAAACTTCGGCCTCTGAAGTTCAATTGCAGTGAATTAGTAAAAAGAAAATAGAAGTTTAAAATGGAGGTGGGGATCTGAGGCAATAGTTACCTAAAACCCATCAGCCGCTGCACTGCGCTGCTCTAACCCCAGCTTTGCGATTGTAATTACTGCTGTGAGCGGCACACTTAGCAGAAATTAGTTTGGGTTTCCTCTGTGGCTTCCCATGAATTTCTGAATGGGGTTTCAAGTCTTTACAGGAAGATCGCCCCGAGATGGTTATCGTGTCCTGGGAGGGTGAATCACTCCAACACGGGTTTGTCTCCACTGTAGGTTACGCTGCTGATAATGCCTGGAACCGGAGCAGAGGACTGCAGGGTGGGAGAGTACTTACATGAAGGTCACTGCTGCCTGGCTTGTCCAGCAGGTAAGGCTTCAGGCGGTTATAGCTAACAGCAGCGTTGTTTTTGCCCATGGAGATGACTGTGTCACTATTGTGTTTTACATCACATCCGGTGAAAGTGTAAGCCTGGTTGGAGCTGTGGTGGCTTTTTGATGCTGTTAAGGCTGGGCTCCGTTTGGAAGCTGGAGCCCCTCGTGCAGTAGGTGATAACTGGGAGAGGTGCCTGAGCAGCAAGTCAGGAAACCTCTGCTTGCTGTTGAGGATGAAGTGTTCAAAGTCAGGTGGTGGGGTGGTTTTTTTTTTTTTAAAAAAAAAAAAAGAATAAAAAGGCCTAGGGGAATTCTGGTATTTCTGTATCTGGAGGTAAAACTTTGGTTTGCCTTTGCTCTCCACTCCTTGCTCAATGTTAACTCTACACACATGCTTTGTGCCAAGAAACACCGTGTAGATAGTATCAAAGGGGTTATCGGGTGTATTTAGAGATAATTCGGACAAAGGAGAACAGAGGTTGTTATAAGCAGTTCTCCCTATGCCCGCCATGCTCCTTCAGAGATGGCGCTGGCCACATGGGTGACTCCCGTGTTGCAGTGAGTCACCCTCGTCCCTGGTGCATCACGGCTCATTTGCCACCGCTCCCAGTCTGAGCGCCAAGCTGCGAACATGCCTCCTGACCCTGCTGTGCCGCTCGGTTCACATGGCACACCGTTCGCTGGCGAGGAGGGGTTGAACTTTCACCAAAACCGGTTTTGTGTTGTAACATCCTGTTATAGTCCTTTGCCTGTTAAATGATCCCTTGAGAGTGCTGCCGCTGCCGGTTCTCCTCTTCCACAGGTACTTACGCTGCTCAGCACTGCAGTGCCTCGCACTTGAAAGGAAGATGCCTCCCTTGCACCGAAGGAGAGGATTATACCGCCCATGAGAATGGCTTGGAAGAATGCTTGCCATGCAGACAGTGCAAAGAGGGTACCAAGCACAATTTTGATGAAGCCTTAACCCTTTTCCCTGTTTTTAATGTGGAAAGCCTGATCCTCTGTTTTTTTGCACTTCTCGTCATTACAAATATTGAACTTACAAATAAATTGCCTTTGTGGCCTGAGTATAATTTTTGTGCAGGTGTAGAGAGTCACAACTTATATATTTACTTTGTAACTTATGGTTTTTTTTTTTCAGATCAGATAACTTTGAGACCCTGTACTCTGACACATGATACTGAATGCCAATGCAAACAAGGGTATTTCTGCCCTGCCGAGGGCTGTGAAATATGTCAGAGATGCAGTACAATGTAAGTCTGATAATGAATCTAAGCAACTGCTTTCCTTCTAGGGAATGTTAGAGCTGTGGCCCAATCTTTGCTGATACCTAACACATGTTATTAGGCTGTAAATAATTGCCCTGAAGCCAAATGGCATTATTCATGCATTTAAGTTTTGGGTGTAAAATACATGAGGTTGGGACTTAGAAAGATACAGATTTTGGTTTTGTTGTGCTTGTTGCTTATGGCTGTAAGCTTACACTTTTCATGTCATCAGATTAGTCCTTCCCCACCCACACACTTGAATGAGCTCTGTAGCAGGCAGACCAAAATTCTGGGAGGTAGAACCACCTGTTGAAGGGAACTAATGAATAATGCACCTACTCTGTGGGTTTTCTTTTCCCTGCTACTTAGAGGCTAACATCCATGAGCTTTATCTGCTTTGCTTCTATTTAATCTTGTAGTACTATCTCGGATTGTTTAAAGATGCACTTTTAACAGAGTTACCTGTTTATGGATGTTCTGTTCATGTCTCTAAGCTCTGCCTGAAAAAAAAAAAAATTCAGGCCTGGGCAGAGCTGCATATTGTTCTGGAGATGTTGATACAACCCTGTGTTGCTATCCACTTCAGGTGTCCAGAAGGGAAAGAAATTGTGCAGAACTGCAATGCTACTATGGACCTAGGATGTGGCTTGCCTGATCAAGGTCTGGTACACAAATACCATTCAGTTTGGTTTGTTGGGTCTGTGGCTTCAGGCTAACACCACCAGAGCAGTCTGTAAAACAGTGGTTTAAACTACTGTAACATGTTTAAGAGCTTCTGTATTTTGGTCTGGGAACTACTTGCTAAAGACAAGTTCTGAAAGGGCATGAAGTGACAAACCATCTTGAATTTCACTTAGTGGAAAGCTACATGTATTGGCAGGGCTTTCAAGGTTGCAACAGTGACACTGTTAACATTATGGTTAGTGCAAAGATTTCTTTCATGTTTTCTATGTGTGGGAAGCTGTGTATGGAGTGCTGGCAGATAGCTTCTGCCAGGCTAGAGAAAGAAGGACTACCAACACTACAGCACCTGAAGCATGCTGTCATCTTTTGCATACCTGTTTTCCCCTTTTCTTAAATGTCTCTTCATAAAACCTTGTAGAAGTTACATTGCAGCTTGTATGGAATCCCAGGCTGCATATGGGATAATGATGGGTGGTGCTGATGAGTACTTGCACGTTCAGGTCAGCTAACAGTCCCAGCACCTTTTCCAGGACATACTAGATAGGTTATTCTACTAGGGCTGAGCTTAGGTTCTTTAGGACAGCAGAGAAGACTCGCCCTTCAGAATATCTTGTTTGGGGACTGCTTCACTACTAATCTGGCTTGTTTTTCCTTTGCAGGAAGCACAGCTCTTGTTTGGATTACTGTGATTTTTTTGGTGGCTGTTGGGTTTTTGCTGTTCTTTGTAATCAGAAAGCTGAAGAGTGATAAAGGTAACTGCTTGATTACTGTCCATAAACTTTTCCAGAACGTGGCAAAGCATGCACTAAGGCTATCCCTGTTTTTTGTGTTACTTTATAGGGGACCTGTTTAAGCTCCAGCTCATTTAGTATGTTATTCAATTAAGTAATGCCCCTAGATGGAGACTAATTTTATTCAATAAATAAAATGTATAAACTTTAACTATGAGCTTTCTTACTTTGCTGACTGATGCCATTGCTTCAAGGCAAGATTAGTGTAAGGTCCTTAAAAGGACTTTTTCTATCTACTTGCATTGTATTGGCAGAGAGTGAGGAAAAACATGTGCGTAAGCTCAGACATATGGAGCAAGAAGTAGCAACTAATTAGATCATCAACTACTTTCACTGTGTGTGGCTGTGGAGATTTTTTTTCTACAAATTGTTGCGCTCTCATCATTTGAGCTTCTCAACATGAATGTTAGGTTGATAAGTCCTGCGTGAATTCATTTTATTTTTTTTTAGTGGAGATGGAGTTGTCTTCCTGAGAAACTTTTATTTCTGCTACTGCATATTAAAGTGTTTTTGCAACTAGTTTGGTTAGAACAGTGTTGAATATCATTCTGAGTTTTAAATGTTGACTTTGTTCAAAGCATGTCTTACTGATTATATTGGAGTAAAGACAATTTCTGCCTTCTCTCTTGTATTGCCATAGCCCACAAAAATGCTAAGAAGCATAAGCTGGAGGCAGGGGGAGGTTGAAATAGTGGCTTAAAAGCCAAACTGCCTCTTGTGGTCTGTATCTTACTAAGCGGGACTCTTTATCCCTGTGTGAAGGCACAGTGTTTGTGCTGTTGGTGGAAGCTGAGGGTAGTACTCTCATGAAACATATGACAGGTCAAGGAAACTAAATGGCTCATGTTAGAGCTTTGGTTTAGGTTACAAAGCTGTCTACTGCATATAAATTTTGTGATTTCAGCTATGTTTAAGTTGCTGCAATTCCTAAAAGTTTCTTGACATTTTTTGTTGTTTTCCAGCTGCTTCAACTGATAAAGATGCAGAGAAAGGTCTGGTAAGTATATGATGGATGAAGTGTTTCATCTCAGTCTTCTGCAGCATAATTGTGCACTGCTTAATTGTACCTGATGTACAACTTTCAATTTTTGTCTCGCTGTAGACCTCTGGTAGGATGTGTTCCTGTGATGCAGCAAGTTGTGATTCATACAGGGCCAGATGTTAGCAAGGGCCCGATGCATTCACTAGCTGTGTGTGTCCACTGCAGTTGGCATTTCCGGTACTTCCTTTGGAAACATGCCAGAGCCAGGAATGTTTTGAAACTGAAAAAAATAATTAGGCTAAGCGCAAGCTTTCACTTCAGACTGTCTCCAAGCGATGCCTTCATCCAATTAGTTCTTTGCCGCTTTATGCATGTATTCCCCAGGCAACATCAGCTATCGCTTCCCCGCATGGTTGTGTTGTAGCTTTCTTTGCATTTTAACTACAATATTGTTTGTTCAAAAGACTTACGTCTCTTGATCCAGCAGAGTGACTGAGCCTTCCTGCCTTTGGGCTCATGTCACCAGGACCTGGCAGTTTGACTTCTTGGTCCTAGAGAGTCCCATAAGACAAGGGGTTCAGGGCTCAGAGCATATCAGTTCAGAAGTACATCCCTGAAAAGGGGTTACCAAGCTAAGGTAGGGTGCTGGCACATGTTCTGCTTTCAAGCTAGGTTCACTCTGGCCTCCTGTAGTCACACACTAGTTTGGAACCTTAATGTTTCAGTTTAAAAAGGTTATTGCTAGTCCAGCATTTTGCAGGATAAATACAAGACTAGCTTGTATCTAGCTAGTCTAGTCCAGCTTTAGCTCCTCTATTCAGAAGCTGGACTCTTAACAGTATGGTGAGGCAAAAATGAGCTCAGTCTTCACTAGTATAGTTAAAGATGTGTAACATCAAGCTGTAAAACAAATGTTTGTATTGATGAGGATCTAAGAAAACCTTCCAGATTCCTCTTGCAGTACATGTACAGTACTGCCTTCTCCCTTCTGCCTTTCTTGTCGCCCACGCAGCTGACTCACTACTCACCTGGTACATGAGCTTTAGACTAATCTTACTAGTTAGACATTTCAAGTAATGGAATGTATCTTAATTGTGTCACAACTACTTGAAGACTGAAGAAACAGCATTGAAAGATGTGTTTAAAAACATCACCTTCAACTCTTCTCTTTTTTTTAAGGTCCATAAGTGGCTCAAATATGCAAACAACCCATGGGTTTTTGTTGGGTTGTGTCTCCCCCAGCGCCCTGGCCAGATTCGAAGCGCTTCGTGTATTCGTAGGAGCTGATGAAGAAACATGACAGAAAACTTGGCCAAGATACTGTAGCATAGGAATAGGCAAATACCACATCTCTCTAATTTGAGTAAAATGGTAGTAGAATAATGCAACCACAAATCAGTGCAAGGTGATGCTTAGCTCTGACATAAGAGTCGTCACAGACTTGAGTTGCAATGTCTGTGCACTTGGAGTGTTCATGTTATTGTAACAAAAAGCTTATTTGCTAAGGAGAGATACACTGATGCAGTTCTGAGACCAGATGTTTTGGCACCAACACACTGTCCCTTCCAAAGTACCTGTGAATTAATACTGCTGTAAAAAGGAAAAAAAAAAAAAACAAACAAAAAAACCCAAATAAACCCCCAAAAATGCTGTTACTTTTATTTCATTCCAAAATAGAGCAGCAGCTATTAGGCAGCCATGCTGTGTACCTTCAGGTGCTAAGTTACCTATTTAAGAGCTATTCTGTATAAATAGATCAACTTGTTTGACCTGTTTGCACCCTTAAATAGAAAGTGGATTCAATGAGGATGATGTACAACTACATGTGTGATGTGTGCGGTTGTTCTCCTTGCATCACTACTTATACATGTTGGTCACATGGTGGTATGACACGTGGGTCACTGACCTTATGCAAACAGAAATCACACTGGCTTATGCTCATGGGGAACTGTACCTTAAACAAAGTCTCATTGGAAAAACAGTCACTCCTCACCCTCATTTTGCACCTTTAAAAAGGAAAAAATTCCTAAAGATTTCAACTTTTAGCACTAGCTGATATGCTAGATAAATGCTGGTCTGCTTTGTACTTGTACTGTTCTTGATGAGATGGAGCTATACTCCCTGGCCTATGCTTGTTTATTGACGATACTAAAATTCACGCAGCCCTCCTTGCTTGCTTCCCTTTTTGTCCCCTCACAAAAGCTATGTAATGTGCACTGGTGCTCACTGGCTTCTTTCAAGTGATTCTAGTTTTTGAATGTGCTAGAAAAACTAATCCAGCCAAAAAAAAAACCCCCAAACCCAAGCTGGTGCACTTACATGGAGCTGATAGGCTATTATCAGCTTGGCAGAAGCTCTGGGAGCATCAGCTTTGATACAATGGTAGGCTTGAGGACGCTGTTGCTGTCAGTTCAGGTGCAGCAAGGTAATTTAATTTCCTCCTGCCTCAGGAGGGGTGCATACCTTCCATACCTAGAGAGGAGCAGGCAGCAATACATGCCAGTGAAAACATTAAGAAAAAAAGCTAGGAAAAGTTTCCTGTGTTTGTTGTGGAGGTAGCCTGTGAGCCTTACCCCGCAGTCCAGTGGAAGCAGAACAGTCAGCGAAGCAGAGAGTTTAGGCTCTGAAACCATTTGGAGTCCAATTCTGTACGGGCTGTAACTTTTGCATGTTTGTGATTTTGCCAAATTATCAGCTTTGTTATTATTTCTCTGATATCTGGTGACTTCAAGTATTCTGTTTTCTTCCTTTGGACTGTCCTTGAAGGCCTGCCTGTGAAACATCTCTTAAAATATGTTCTTATTCTTTACAGGATTCTGAGGGCAGTACTGAAAGCCTTATTTTACCAGAAGTGGAGACACCTGCAAATAACGCAGCCAACCCAGAGGGTGAGAACTCTGGGGAGAGCCCTGAGGGCCAAGCGCAAACCAAGGTTAACTTAGAAGTAAAAAACACATCACTAGAGGAAAACAGTGTTGTGCATTCTAAAGGGGGCACCATCCTGCCCGGGGGCTGCAGGCGCCAAGTGAAAATGTGCTGGAGGAGGATCGCTTCACTACCAGCAAAAACCGGGCAGAATCCTGCTTCTCATCAGAATGCCCCGTCTAACGTACCAAGTGGTAGGATGCCAGCAAATCGTATGGTAAGTGTGTATGTGTGAAGTTATCATTGTATTTTCTGATACATGTGTAGTTTCAGTTGAGTTCTTAGCTATTCCTTGAGTGATAGATGCTGGTTTTGGGCAGAACAATAGGGAAGAGGAGGCTTTGCCTTAAAGATGTAATGGAAAGTATGGAAAGTGGTATCTTGGGAAAGCAAACTTCAGTCCCTCAATTTGATCTGCTCTGCCTCTTTCGTGTCCCTATTCAATATTTACACAGAAGCTATTCTTCTGCAATAGCAGCAAACATGTTGCCTTGTTGCTTCACTTTGGAGATAGTAGCATGGCTATTTCAGCATACAATTTTCTTTACTCAAATACTTTCAGCTGTGCTGTGAAATCTGCCCCCCTCCACCTTATTGATGTGTGTGCTGTGGAAGCAAGCTATCAAGTAGCCCAGGAATAATCATGAGTGAAGCACTCTGATATGTTGGAGTAATGGTCCAACTTTGTATTACAGGTACGAGAACCAAGGTGTCGAATAATTGTTAAAGATCTCTCTCAAAAAGGTAAGTATTCCATAAATTGGCAGTACTTTGAATTTGGCTTTCTCCTGTTGACTTTAGCCTACTTAAGAAGTAGCGGAGGGAGGCTAATGAATATTGCTTAGAGCTAAGGCTTTCAATTTGTTGTAAAATATGCTGAAACAGGATTATTACTACATTTGAGAGAAGTCGTAGTCCCTATGGTGAATTATTCTACTTTAAAGCATGGCTTTTCTGCACAGGAGTATATTGTAGTTGTGCTTTTAAGAATAAGAATAGTACAACATTTTTTGGTATGTTTTAAACAAGTCTGCATTGCAGCAGTATACTCTGCCTTAACAAGTAAGGTATAGGTCAGAGCAGGAGATCTTTCTGTCAAATGTCCTCACATGGAAGACCACATGGAATCCCCTTACATCTAGCTGTACCCAGCAAGTTGATGTGCTGGATGTCCAAGGAATGAGTTTTGCTCATGCTGGTCTTGGTGTGACAAACCTGTACCAGTAGCATCGTGAAGTGGTTGAAGCCTTCTCTTGAGTAGCCCTATTAAGCTTAAGTGAAGATGTGCAGGCCAATGAAACCTTCCTCAAAACCACTTTTACTGAATAGTGTCTCGCCTTAAGAGACTATTTTTTGAGATATGTAGACCGATACCTTTATCTTCTTTCAAGACAACTCAGTAAGAAACCTATTTGTCCTGCTGCTGCTTAGGTGCCAAACCTGGCCTTACTGCTGCTGTTTGGTCTATGCATGTACAGCCTGAAAATTAATGGGAAAGTATGTATGTCAGCGATGAAAAAAATCCGTATTTTAAAAGTTAAGCTGGTATGTGTTGTGTATTTTGTCTTTCAGAACTGAGAGACACCTATCGGGCCTTTATGAATAAAGTACCACTGAAAAAATGGAACCAGCTTATGAGAACTCATCTGCAAGAAAATGATATTGTTAAAATTATTCATGACTTTCCTAATGACATAGAAGAGCAATCTTATCAGATGCTTCTCACCTGGAAAAACACACTGGGAGAGAAACAATCTATTATTAAGTTACTGGATGAGTTAAGGTATCTAGATACCAAGGCTTATCATAATGTATTGAACACTTTAAAAAGTAATAACATTATAAGTAAATTAGAAGCTACAGATTAATGTTTACGATGAACTTCAAAAGTGCTCCTGTGTACATATATATGCCTACAAACTTCCTGTGAATGGGGACGTCAACAAACTGCTAGTAAAAGTGACGGCATGGACTTGATATCCTCCTCACCTTCATGCAGGGAGCTGGAAGTCATTTAACACCGTTGGTGTTAACGTGGACTTCAGTTGCGATGTTCGCTAAGGTCTTTGGAGTTGTACGATATTAAACTCGGGCACTGGATGCCAGCTTGAGAGTGAGGAGCTCCAGCTTACATTTCTCTTGCGTGAGGCAGGACCATGCTGTTCAAGCCCGGGCCGTGGGAACAAAGAGGCTGCTGCTATTTTTGAGAGGACTGCAATGCTTTGTTTTCTGGAACGATTATGTTTTGTATTGGTATACTCAGAACTGTTACGTTTGAAGCACAGCAATAAAAGCCCGGTTGAGCCAGAGGCTGGGGTTGACTCTTGGACCTTCTTGTCTGAGGGTGGGAGGTGTTGTGAGGGGAGCCCGTTCCCGCTCGGCTTCGGGGCCGCCCGGCTGTGGTAAACCCCTGCAACACGACCGCTGCTCCTGAGGAGAGACCGGCTGCGCGACGGCCGCCCGCTTGGCGGGAAAGCTGTGTGGGCGGGAAGGCGG